GTTAAATTTTATTTATATTTAAAAATTATATAATTTTTTAAAATTTTATGATATGATCAGTTATGTATATATACTATGTAGAATTTGATTAGTTGAGTATTTCATATGCTAACATATTTTTTTTATCTTTTTTTATTTTTCTAAAAAAAGTTATCTTTGTTATTTTAGATATGATGATTTTGTTTTATTAGATTTCATTCTATATAAATTATTAATTTCGAAATTATATTAACATACTAAATTAATAATAAATATGTTTATGTATATTCAAAATATATTTGTTTACATATATTTAGTTTTGAATTTAATTGTCCACTTTTTATGGTAAAAGATTATTATGATTTCCATAAATATAGATTGTTTTTGTTTTTGTTTTTGTTTTTTTTTGCTGTCATTAATTCTGTTTGGCAACTGATTTTATTTTCATGAAATGTTTTTTTAAAATTAGGGGCTGTTTGGCTTCAAGTTATCCTTCCCAATTAATAGTATAGATTGTAGCTGAATTTGTTAAGGGGTCAATTGAATTGGATAAAAGCGTTCATAAAATAACTAGGAACATACTAATCAATCAGGTTTTACTTTTTCTTAGTTATGTTTTGAACATGATAAAAGTGTATATAGACATGTAGCAAGATAACTTTTCCAAAATGTGAAATTTTGATGAAGATTTTAATATATCGTTTTGATTTTAAAATATTATAAATATATCTTATGTTAAATATGTTAATATTCTCTTTGTATATTTCAATCTTTTACTTTACCATATGAGACTAGCTTAGGTTAAATGATACTTGTATAAAATATAGGTTTTAGCACCTTTTAGTGAAATACAAAAAAAAATTTAAAGACTTTTAGACCATGATTAACGGGAGTTGCTTAGTTGAATCGTAGGTAATATTAAAATAAAAATTAATAATAAATCAAGTAATTTGATAAGCAACATACCTTTAAGAGCGGCCACGTATCAAGCTATGAGAGGTCGAAGAAGAGAAAAAAAGGGCCAAAAAACCAAACGATGGTTCACTCATTTCTTGTGTATCTCTCTCTCTCTTTTCACCTGATGGCTCTCTATGGCGATGAAGAAGACGAACAGTAAGCATCCTCCTATCTGTCACCTTATCCGTCTTCCAACCGACGAGCCGGTCTTATCTCACCATCTCCGTTGACGTGGATGTCCACGGCGACGAGGAGGAGGTGAAATCGGCGATGAGGAGCGAGAAGAAGGAGATTACATCAGCCGAAGATCTTCGATTTTAGCTCAAATCATGCTTTATATTATTTATGTTATAAATTGTATCTTACGTATGTTTTAAAAAATTTAACTTGCAATAATTATTATGTTATATAAAATTAAAAATTTCCAATAAGTTTAAATTTTAATTAAATTTCATATTTTTTTTTTCGGCTAAGAATCTCAAGTTAATATGCTCCTTATTTTTCCTTATTTCCTTGTTTTCCTCTATTGTTTGCAAGCCATGTTGGGTACACAAGAAGATGTCTCTTCAATCACTCCATCGAAGGAAGTAAGGGCTTCTTAAACACTCAACATTGTACGATTTCACCTTTATGATCTTTCTTGAAATAACAATCCAGGTTATGTGATATCTCAACCTTCACTTTGTGGTCCTAATTACAACAAAAGCTCGTAAGAAATTCGACTTTGTTGATGGTACTTGTCTTCACCATGGTATTACAATTATAGCTTATTATGGGAAATTGGTGTCGTTGTGGACTGGCCTCTTTGACTAATATAGTTGGTCATTGAATTATGGTTGTCTAACTGAGGATGAGCTTCAAAGATTGTGAGAGGAGTGAAGTCAATTAAATGACTTAGGTAAATCTATTTTTAGAGTTGTGAAGTCAAGTCTCTTGTCTAGTAATCCTGTTACCCTTTATTGATAAAGCAGTGCAAAAGTGCTAGAGGATGACTGTAAATTAACTTGTATTAGTATAATATTTTGATCACAAAACCTACGAAAGTTGAGTTATAGAGTTATTTAATTTAAAGATATTAAATTTTTCCATATTGCTTGATTAGCAACATGATTTGCTTGATGAGGAAGTTTTAGCAATTGAGTTGTTTAATTAGAAAAGGGTGTTACATTTGATTTCTTATCGTTATAAACCTCTAACAATTCCTCAATAATCATTCATGTGCATGTGTTATATATTTCTTTGCATTCGATTCTTTGCACAATTTTTCACTTTCTAGGGCATTGATCTTAAGTACTACAATTAATTACTAGTTGTGCACTTGCTATGGTTCGTTGTATTTATTTTTCATATAAATCTTGGACATGTATCACATCATAAATTAAGAATCATCGTTGCAATTTTATTATGGTGATTAAAGTTAACATATTATCTGACTTTCTCTGTTTGTTTTGTATATTATTCTAATGAACTTAATTTGATTGTATGCCAATAAAAACACACTAATAAAATCACAAAATAATCCCTAAAACATCTAACTAGGACACATATTATTTACGAAAGAGAATGCAAAAATAATCAACACAACATTTATACAAATGGATACTAATAATTCTTTTAATACAAAAATGTTATATGATATGATGTTTTATAATAAATGTTTAATTAAAAGTAATTATTTTATTAAAAAATTTTAAAAGTTAAAGTAAATGGGTTAATAAATTATCATCTTTAACTTTAACTTTAACGTTACCTTTTATTCCAACTGTATTTTATTGTTACAGTCGTAAACAGGGATGTTAATATGGATTTGTCCGACCGATTTAAGTCCATATCAGTTTATGTCTATCCATTATGTTTGTCAATTTAAAATCCGCCGAACGATAAAAACCCATTTAGGTCTATGTATATTGATTTTTAACCATTTTTATATATTTCATGTATGTTGATATTTTTTGATTTTTCCAATAAAAATTTAAATATTCCAATAAACAAATCAATATTCCAGTAAAAATTAAATATTCCAATAAATTTTTCAAAATTCCAGTAAAAATTGAATTGTTTACCCAAAAATATTTTGACGGAAAATTTTTAGCGGAAAAAATTTGACGCGAATATTTTTTGTCTAGTAGTTATGGCGGGAAAAATTTGTCGGAAAATTTTTTGGGATAAATTTTTTTAATTTTTTTATCATCAAATAATATTTTTTCTTTGGAATGAGTATTTATATTCTCCATCATGAGTCTCAGTAAACAGACTTTCCATCTAATTTTATGAAAACTCGTTTATTTTGTGAAAACCCGTTTATGTCCAACGGACATCTGTCCATCGTAACACTCTAATCGGAAATAATCTCACTTCTCACTTAAAAGAATGATTGAGCTGTAATAGGCTAAAGCTTTTAGTATTTTATTATTAAGATGGTCTATGTGTATACGATAAGATTAGTTGTCAAAGACAACGTACCTGCTACCATTGTAATTTTTTTTTTTTTTTTTTTGAATGAACATTGTAAATTATTTTTAAAACGACTTTAGATCCTTATTGATTATTTTTCTTAATCAATGCATATCAATCACGTTTTTGTTTTGGTCTCGAAGTATTATTTTAGTTAACAGATCTACATTTTTTTGTTTGACTTACAATTTACAAATTAAAAATTACTATCCATAGTTATTTTTATTCGTTTATTGTTTAATATTGGATATTATATTAGCATGTTGGTTTTTTTTTTTTGGGTAGGATATTAGCATGTTGGTTTAACACAAGAACTCAGTAATTTTCAAACATATAAAAAAAAATCATAGTAAACTAATCAACTATGTATTTTAATATAATTTGTGCATAATACATATAAATAGTATTTGTAAAAATCTATTATAACACTAAATTTCTGATAAAACAAAAAATTATCCTGCTTTGTCTACCTTGTAGTGAAATGATTATAAGATCGTTGAAAGAAAACAAAATTGCGAATAAAAATGCACTTTCACCGCATGCACGTTATAGTGAGTCTATATATAAAAACTTTACGTTGTCGAAATTAATATCTCATCGTCAAATAAAACGTTATTAATAAATTGTGTCATCGTCTGCCACGAGGAAATAAAAATAATAATTAAAATTGTTTTTTTACTCAAGTCGTATTATTTTATTTTTTTTGTCAATTACTCAAGTCGTATTAATAAATTCATTCTTAGGTGATTAAAATAAATATAAAACTGTGTATAAAAGGGCACCTTCGCTAATATGCTTATACATCATTGCTCCCCATTGGTTCAACAGCTCTCCTTATCTCTCTATTGCAGCATAAGAGGTAATGGTTATAACTTAGTTAAAACTGTTTTACTTAGTGTTTACAAATGAATCTGAACTTTGTTCCTCAAATGAATCTCTAGATTCGATTCGCGACGCGATGGCCCTAATGGTGAAAGCTGAAGGTGGAAATGGAGGTAATGAATGGGATGATGGATTTAATTATGAGGGTGTAACAAAGATACATGTACGAGCCGGTACTGAAGGCATTCAGTTCATCAAGTTTGAGTATGTCAAGGCTGGAACAACTATTGTTGGACCAATTCATGGTGTCTCTGGTCTTGGTATGACACAAACGGTATGTAAAGGTTTGCTTATCTTGCTCGATCTGATCTTAGTATATTATCTATGTTCTTTTGTATTATCATCTATTGTTGTTGATTAGCTTATTTACTTAAATGGATTTTAGACTTTTGGTTGTCAAAGATCACTTTTGAGTTTTGACTTTTGCTTGTCGAAATCTAGCAGTGTAAGGATCAATCTTATAAGTAGTTAAAAGACAAACTCAAAATATTATATTTGAATGTCATGTAGACTTATGCATGAGCTGCTATGCTATTGTTTTGGACTCAACTCATTTTCTTGTTTTCAATTATTGTCGTTTGTTTGAATATTTTAGGTTTGTTTTAAGTTTGATAACTTATTTTTAGAGTATTTTCCCAAAGGGTTTAACATTATTTTATTTATATTATATATAATTAAGTCAATATGTGTAATATTTTATCATATATATATATATATATTAGTATATACTCTGCATATACAGCCGCATATACAATTATACGCTAAATGGTGGTCATTGCCTGATTAGCGCATAGCGTATTTTAGAACACTGATGAAACGATATGTACTTTTAATTTAAAAAAGCTTTAATAATCCTACACCTCGGCTCCAATCGAGATAAGGATTTACGATTAGTAAATCCGATTAAACCGCTAAATCGTGTTTGCCTTAATCGCGGCTTGACTCGATTAAAGCTAGCTAGGCCGGAAAAAAAGAACTTAATTCATCATAACATTATTTTGTATTTTTCTTTGACAGTTTGAGATAAACCATTCACAAAAAGAATATCTAGTATCTGTCGAGGGTTACTACGACAAAACTACAGGCGTGATCCAATCAATCCAATTCAAAACTAACGAGCAGACTTCTGATATGATGGGGTTCAACAAGGGTACTAAGTTTTCACTAGGCTCCATGAGGAGAAAAATCATTGGATTCCATGGATTTGCTGACAAGAATCTCTACTCTCTTGGAGCATATTTCATCAGGATTCCAGCAACCAAATCACCAATGCAAGGTGGTCAAACCACAGGCAAAAGTTATGACCATGGTGGTGACTATGATGGCATAAAGAAAGTGTATGTTACATATGATGGCACTTCAATAAGGCATATGAGAGTTGACTATGACAAAGCCGGTCAAGTTGAATGCTATGAGTATGGGGACAAGAAAGGAACAGGAGATGAGGTTATTCTAATTTCCAAAGCTATAATTTACTAATTATCTTAAATACTACGATTAGTCTAATATAATTTTTTCAAAAATACCGTTATGAGTTTTAATTTTCGAACATACCACTAAAATACGTTTTTTACAAAGAAAACCACAAAACTAATTTATAAATCCTAAAAACTAAACCATACTCCTAAAAATAATATATTAAATGTAAATAATCAATCGAAACATATATATATATATATACACCTTTAAAAATTAATTTTCTTTTGATGTTTATGATATTTTTAGAAAAATAAAACTATTGTCATATTTCAAAAAAAATAAAAAAATTGTGGTATTTTTAGAAAAATAAAACTTAAAATGTGGTATCTAAGGAATTTATCTACTATAAATATGTTAATATGTTTAAACATGTGCATCCATATTTACTAAACCTTTTTAATTGTTGTTGTTACTACAGTATCTCCGAATGAAGTTATCCACCATTACTGTTAATTATCCCTATGAATGTATCACATCCGTAGAAGGAAGCTACGCAAATACTCAACCTTACGGATGCATCGTCCTTAGGTCTTTAACTTTCAGAACATCAAATGGGAGAACCTTAGTAGTTGGAACCATGACTGGTACCACGTTCTTGCTGCAAAGCCAAGGCAATGCTATTGTTGGGTTCCATGGAAGGGTAGGTTCTTGTGTTGATAGTATCGGGGCGTACTACGCCCCGTTTTCTCCTTCTCCTCCTCCATCAGAGAAACTAGAAGGACAAGGTAGTGATGGAGGAAAGTCTTGGGACGATGGTGCATTCCAAAATGTAAAGAAGGTATACATAGGACAAGGCGAATCTGGTATCGTTGCCGTTAAGTTTGAGTATGAGAACGATGCTAGTGAAGTGGTAATTGGAGATGAACATGGAAAGACAAGTTTGCTTGGATACGAAGAGGTAATATATATTTTACTTCTTATAAGACCAATATTATCAAGGGTATCTTAGCAAGATCTTAAGGTAAGATCTGTTAAAAAATGATCTAATCTTAACATATCTTAGCTTAAGATCTTGCTAAGATACCTTTGATAATGATGTCCTAAGACCAAGATTATTGGTAAAATCTTAAGTGGTGTAACAATTACACTAGAAGCTATCGTATTCTTACATTTAAGAGAATTACACTAGAAGCTATCTTATTCTTACACTTAAGATCTTACCTTTAATGTTGTTCTAAGGTTCTTGTAAAACCAACATTATCAAGGGTATCTTAGCAAGATCTTAAGGTAAGATCTGTTAAAAAATGATCTAATCTTAACATATCTTAGCTTAAGATCTTGCTAAGATACCTTTGATAATGATGTCCTAAGACCAAGATTATTGGTAAGATCTTAAGTGTAAGAATTATACTAGAAGTTATCTTATTCTTACACTTAAGATCTTACCTTTAATGTTGCTCTAAGGTTCTTGAGTTATTCTTTTTTTTACTGACAACATCTCTTGTACTTAATAGTTTGAGGTGCATTATCCAAGTGAATACATTACATCAGTGGAGGCTTGGCATGACAAGGTTATGGGAGCTGAAACTGGAGTTATAACAATGGTGAGGTTCAAGACAAACAAGCGTACTTCTCAACCTTTTGGACTTGAAGCTGGTGACAAGTTTGTCCTCCAAAAGGATGGTCACAAGATCACTGGATTCCATGGGAAGTCTAGTACTATGCTTCATCAGATTGGTGTTCATGTTGTTCCCATCACTGAGTGACCATCCATATAGCTACTACCTTCATTATCGAATGAACATGAATCCTCTATATTATTCTCTTGTCGTTGTTATTTTCGTTTTCATTATGCATCATTAACATATTTTAACTTTTAAGATAATAATAAAAAGACAATCATGTCTTCATGTTGATGTTGAAATTTTAATATTAATTAGTATTATTATGATTCAGAAAAACAATATGAAATCCGATTACATTTTCTACACAAATATTGATAGACAATTTTTTCTTACTTATATAATAATACAGTAAAAAAAAATTTAAAAGTTTTTCCATATAAACGTAGTAGAATATTGGAAAATATATAGTTTTTAGAGAAAAAACCAACCGTTAAAACATTAGGAATTTAGGGAAAATTTTTACCATTTGCTTATGGAACAATGAGCTAATTATTGTTATTTGACGAGTTTACTCAAGCATGAAAAAAGAGAAAAGGAGAGTGTCACACAAAGTATACTGATATTATGTTCGGAGTTGTGAGCGTTGTGAAACATTTTATCCCGGTCTTCCAAAGTATACTGATATTTTTAGTAAGAAAAAACAAAAATGGTTTTTTTAAAGTAGAACTTTTAATTAAAATTTTGATTTGTGATTTAGGTCAGGATAATTTAAAAATTTTAACCCGGAAATTGTAATCGGGTACTGTAAAATTGGAAATTTAATTGGGTTTGTATATAAATCATATATTTCCCTAGCGAATTATTCTTCTTTCATCTTTATTTGATCTTATTTTTAGTTTATTATATTACAATATATAATACAAATGTATAACAAAAATTCAACACTTTTTTACATATGTTGCAATTTGAATTTATCAAAGCGGAAATATATTACACAATTGACAAAAAAAAAACATGTATGTACAACGTCCCATATCGGATAAACTATTTTTTGGCAATATTTCATACCATAGTAAAAAGAGTCTAACATGTTTCGAACTACATATGAGCAGAAAGCTTAATTTATCAAGAATCCCAATTTAAAATTTTTGATATGATCTGGTTCTAAGTTTGAGCAAATTAAAACTTTTAAAAATATTTACAATATTATAATAGTTAAATTTTAATATAGAAGATATTATAAATATTTAAACTTCTAAATCAAATATTATAAGATTTTTTAAAGTTTCAAAATATTATAAATTTTAATATTTTTAAAGTTTAAACTACGATAAATATTGAAACATTAAATATTCTATATATTATAAATTTTAAAACATTTGAAAGATTTAAATATTATAAATATATTAAATAATTGGTAATTTTGGAACGGGTCAGAGCATATATCAAAATCATTGATAATTTTGCAACGGGTCAGAACATGATACACACCACTTAAGTTTGACAACAAAATACTTTGTAAAACTAAATCTTAAGTAAATATATTTTCAAATTATATGGAAAAATTATTCACTTTTAGTGTATTATGGGTCCTATAAGAGATTTAAATTAAATTTTGATTGATGGTTTATACGAAATCTTATAAACAAAATATAATATTTAAATGTTGATTAAATCAAATTTAATATGAATAAGTTTTACCACTAAATTATATTATGTATCAATTATGGATAATTCACTGGTTATTTGTTAAACTCATGATATATAGTAAAACGAGTTTCAAATAATATATTTAAGAATACAATCCTTTTCATTTTAGTCCGTAAAAGAAATGTTATGTGTATATAATTTTTATGTATGCAAATTGTTTACAATTTACACATATATTCTTTCTTCTAATAGAAAAATGGCCAAATTTAGTTATATATCGATAAATATTCCTTCCCACTGTGAAATTTTTTATTGTTTTTTCTTATATCAAAACTCATTATTGAATAATTTATTCAATTTTTCTTTCTACTATTTTATCCATGCTCATTACATAAATATACGATTAACCATAATTGACTACACCGCAATGAAATAAAAATAAAATATATTATAATTTAATATAAATCATAACTACAATAAAACCTCTATAAATTAATAATCTTGGGACTATGGTATTTATTAATTTATAGTGATATTAATTTATCTATAAATTAATATTTATTATTTTATAGTGTAAATTAATAATTATTAATTTATAGTGGTATTTTTTAATTTTAATTTTCGTAAAAAATATGCATTGACAAAATTTTACAAAAATAAGACTACTCTAATAGATATTATAAATTATAGTTTAAAAATGAATATCATATTATATTTAATATATGTTTTATTTTATTTCTGTAAAAATAAATTTTTTCCTAGAGTTCACCTCAATAATTTTTTATTTAGTATATTTTTAAGTAATAATTTTGTAAAATACTCCAACACTAGTCATAAAAATAAAAATATTTGACTATCAACTACAAATATTATAGATAAAAATTGGGAGATTTGCACAACTAACCTTTATCATGATACTATTTTCTATAAGTACCCTCTCTAGGTGTTCATTTTCAAAAATACTCTATTCAATGTACAAAATGACTAAATTATCCTCCTTTATTATAACCCAAGATGAAAAAAAGAATATTCTTTCCAACAAAAAGAATATTTCTTCCGAAAAATTTCCCGCCAAAAATTTTCGGCAAAAATTTTCCCGCCTAAAATTTCTGACAAAAAAATTTCCCGCCAAAAAAAATTTCCCGCCAAAAAATTTCCCGCCAAAAAATTTTCGACAAACATTTTCCCGCCAAAAATTTTCAGCCAAAATTTTTCCGCAATTTCTTAAAAAAACCTTGTAAATATTTATTCGGGTTCTGAAGCTGAACATGAGAGAGGCGCAGGATCGGCAGAAGTGTTATGCTGATAAGAGCCGTAAAGAGTTGGAGTTTGAGGTTGGAGATATGGTGTATCTCAAGATGGCGATGTTGCGTGGTCCTAACAGGTCCCTTACCGAGACTAAGTTGAGTCTGAGGTTTATGGGTCCTTTCAGGATTGTGGAGCGGGTTGGACCGGTGGTTTATCGGTTGGAGTTACCTGAGGTAATGCATGCATTTCATAAGGTATTCCACGTGTCGATGCTGAGGAAGTGTCTTCACAAGGATGATGAGGTGTTGGCTACGATCCCGACAGATCTTCAGCCTAGCATGACCTTGGAGGCGAGGCCAGTGAGGGTTCTCGAGAGGCGGGTAAAGGAACTTCGACGTAAGAAGATTCCTTTGATGAGAGTCCAGTGGGACTGTGATGGAGTCTTGGAGGAGACGTGGGAGCCAGTGGCCAGGATGAAGGCAAGGTTCCGGAAGTGGTTTGACAAGCAGGTCGAGAAGTGGTTTGAGTTTGGTTTTGTTTGTATCTCTTTTGTATTCTCATTTTGGTGTAATGATTATGACATTGGAGATTAATAAGATGAGTATTTCTTGGGTTTGACTTGTTGTGTCATGTGTAAGAGAAATATGTGCGAGTTTCTAAAAATAGAAAGTGTCGGGTTTGACGGTTCTATTTTTTGGAAAGTCTCGGGGTGGTGGTTAGTATAGCATTGCGATGTTATAAGTGGACCACGGGAGGTATATCTGATCGAGAGATATGCTCGGGGGCGTTTAGACTTATTTGCTCGGATATGATGTGATGGCCTCGGATGACGATTCGAGTGCACGCTTGAGGGTGACGACCCGAGAGCGAGCGTGTGACTTCCCGGATACCGTAGCTAGAAGGCGGGTGGCCTAATAGTGAGCCGGTATGATTTGAGGGTTTCGACCTGAGAGCGGGGGAAGTGGTGAGGCTTCCTGGATACCGTAGTCTAAGGACGAGGCCTGAGGACGAGCCGGTATGATCCACGGGTTGCGACCTATGGACGGGGGAGGTGGGTGTGTATGAGCAAATAGGGTCTGGAACGTGAGTATATTGATTAGATAGGGGCCTCGGTGAGGTCAGTTGTGTACTGACGGTTGTGTTGGAGGATTCGGGGACGAATCCTAGTTAGTGGGGGAGAATTGTAACGCCCGTGTCTGGAAATCCGGGTGGTGTCGATCGACACTAGTAATTTTGGTTGGGCGGTTTAAGTTTTAAATCGTCGGTTCAATGGAGGCTTGGTTTGGGTTGGTTAACCCTAGGTCGTGTTTAAAAGAGGGAAGGTCGTGTGTTGTCTCATCCCAGCCGCTTTTTAACACTTCCAGAGATAGAAAAAAAGGTTCTAGAGCTTCTGAGGGTTTTTGTGAGTCTTTGGTGGTGCTTGGTGGTGTTCTTGGTGGTTTAAGGCTAGTAGAGGCTAGATCCGCGTTGTGGGGTGTTAGAGGAGGCAGATCCTTCCTTGTTCTTCTTTGTTTTCGTTGCTGTTCTCCTTGTTTAAAGAGGTGAGTGCATGACCAGGCTTATCTAAGCATGTTTGATCATTGTTTAGGGTTTTGATGATTGTTTGATTGATTTCCTTTGCTTGTTTGGCTGTTTATTTGATGATTGATGCCTGTGGAATCCCTTGGAGACTCGTTCTTATCGTGTGGTCTTTTGAAGAAGAGATCCAGTGAGAAACGCAGTTGGAGCGTCTGCAGAGAGTCGGTGTCGATCGACACCAAGGGTGGGTGTCGCTCGACACCAACGTTTCGTCGCGCGAGGATAACTGCGTCTTACGATTGGAGTGTCGAGACCGGTGTCGTCCGCGAGGGTCGACGGCAAGTGTCGATCGACACCAGTGGTGGGTGTCGATCGACACCGATAGTCAGAAGCGATTCTGGTCTATCTTGTATTGGCTGTTTGGTTCTTTTCCTTGGATAATGATTGAATGTGCTTGTGTGTATAGCCAGTGGTTGTATGATTGCCTCACTAAGTATTTATGAAATACTTATGCATCTCTTTCTTTGATGCAGGTAAAAGCAAAGTGTGATCCGTGGAATCATGGCGAGGAGAGGAGGATGATCTAGGCGCTCATTGGTGTTTAGATGATTGTAGGATTTGTTAGGATGCTAGGATGGAATTTAGAAGCATGTTAGGATGAATTCGTTTCTGGAATAATGATAGTTGAACTTGTTGGATTAATGGAATTGTTTGATTGGATTTTTGTTTAAGTCTTCCACTGGTTACGTTGAATTGGTTGTGTTAGTGAGATTGTCTGGGTTGCTTTAAATGGGTTAATCCGGATTGTTCGCATGTTAAAAAAAAATGGGATGGGTTTTTTCAATTTAGTTGTAACAACCCATCCCGGTGGGAACCCCTACCACATGGCACACCCCGCCATATGGCAGCTACAAGCGCTGCATTGCATCGACCCTAACCTCTCTCCTGTGGGCCCCCAAACTGCGCAGCCCACTTGCTCGCAGCCCCCTGGCCCACCAGGTAGGTTATTGGTGCGCCTGGCGTTCCTCGAACCCAGGTCCTAACCCTTTAACAACCTTCCCACAAGTTGTTACCAATTGATCTGCAGATCATTTAAAAACCATTTAAAAACCATTTAAAAACCTTTGTAGGCTTCTAAAACTCTTTAAAAACCATTACAAATCTTTTAAAAACCATTTAAAAACTCTTGTAAATCCTTTTAAAAACCCTTGTAAACCCTTTAAAAGACCCTTTAAAAAATCTTGTAAACCCTTTAAAAAAATTTGGCGGGAAAATTTTGAAAAAGTATTTTTTTTTGCGGGAAAATTTTTGCAGAAATTTTTTGACGGGAAAATTTTCTCGGAAAAATTTTTGGCGGGAAAATTTTTCTCGGAAACTTTTTTGGCGGGAAAGTTTTGGCGGGAAAGTTTTTGGTGGGATATTTTTGGGGGGAAATTTTTGGGGGGAAATTTTTGGAAGGAATATTCCTTCCTTTGGGAAAGAATATTCTTTCAAATAGGGGTAAAATAGGCATTTAAAATTAAGAGAGGGCAAAAATGAAAATGGTAAAAAAAGAGGGTATTTTTAAAAGAGGGTATCATAAAAAGGTTATTGGTATCAATTTCTCATAAAAATTCACTTATACAAATGATATTTAAAAATTCAAATGTATGATTAAAAACCTCAATTGTTATATTTTAACATTATATATATAAAAAATGAATATGATGCATATTTTAAAATTGAAAATATATAGAAAATTTGTTTATTTTTATGACTGG